GTCCTGTGTCACTCACGTCGATTCTGGCTAAGACTCTGGAACGCCTGGTTCTAAATCAGGTATGTGACAGTTTGACCATCGAAAATCACCTCCACGATCACCAATTTGGGTTCCGACCAGCTCGTTCCACGACACAACTGCTCACACTTGCTGTAAATGATTGGAAACTGGCCCAGGACCGCGGAGAGACTACCAGTGTAGCCTTTGTCGACCTCAGCAAGGCGTTTGGTCGCGTCCAGCATCAACAGTTACTCGTTGCGCTCCATGGCATGGGTGTTCATGCAAGCGCCCTGCGTTGGTTTGCGTCGTACCTCGCCGGGAGATCTCAGCGTGTCGTCACGCAAGCCAGCCAGTCTTCAAGTCTTGCAGTGTCTCGAGGAGTTCCTCAGGGAAGTATTTTAGGCCCTACCCTCTTTAATGTCTACCTGAGGGACCTTCCCCGGCTTGCGGAGACAGCGGGTTCAAAATTACTGATGTTCGCAGATGACAAGACAGTCTACTCTAGTGATCCGTCGAAGGCGCGTTCCGAAGCCAAGTGGTCATCGGCACTGGAGATACTAAACAACCACCTTGGCTCCATTGGTATGCAGATAAATACCGACAAAACCGTTGTCATGCAAATCCATCCCAAACGTGCCACAGGGAGTCAGCAACAACAACAAAGGCAACAACTGCAAATCACCTTGTCAAATGTTACGCTAGGGGAAGTGGAAAGCACCAGATGCTTAGGAGTCGTTGTTGACAATAAGCTGTCCTTTGACCAACACATTAACAATGTCGTCCGGAAAGCCTCACGGAAGATCGGTGTACTGCGTCGATCTTTCCGCCAGATGAACCTGTTTGCCCGCCGTACTTTCGTTGTCGGTGTTATTCAGCCTGATCTAGAATATGCTCTCCCTGTATACCTTTCGTTTATATCCGCTAAAAATAGAAACAAGCTAGCCTCACTCCACCGGCGCGCTGTACGAGTTGCTTGTGGCACATCACCCCAAGCTAATATCACGCCACTTCTTCACCACCTCAATGTTTCCTCTTTCCAATATCGATCAGTATTTTTGTTCCTTGTATTCATTTTCCACTGTTACTGTATTAAGCCGGCTGTTTGCTTGCAGTCCCTCTTTCCCATCTGTACGTCTACCCGAACTACTCGCGGCTCTACAACTCATAACATGAGTATCAATCGCTATAGATCTATGTCTGGCTTTCTGTCCTTTTCAAGGAAATCGGCTCTTGTTTGGAATTATTTACCAGACGACCTGAAGTCCTGCACTACTATCGCAGATTTCCGCGTCAAATTGGCTATTTGGCTAAAAGACAGCTTAACTCTTAATCATTGTTGTGATTTGCTTTCAAGCAATGTGCATAATCGGTAACTTGATGTTGCTGTTTTTGTTTTTGTTTTTTGTTTTTTTGGTTTCCCTTTCTCGGGGCCTTCTATTCGGTATTTTTGGTATGGTATGGTATGGTATTGATTTATTTGAATTCGGTATCTCAACAGTACATTGTACAACTTGGGAAGATCCGAATGACATAGATACATAAACATAAAAGTGGAGTAGTCTTTGTAGTTGTACTTCTGTACTGTTGAGCTATCCGAATTCAAATAAACATTTAAAAAAAAAGAAAAAAAGTATAATAATAATAAGAAGAAGAAGAAGAACGCCCGTGATCGGCAGAGTCAGCGCCGGTCCCAGGAAACGTCAGGACAGACATCCCGTCGACTCCAGAACGCCCGTGATCGGCAGAGTCAGCGCCGGTCCCATAGCTATGCAGAAGGCGTTACTTGTACTTCAGTATCTCATTGAAACGTTTTTGCAATACAATGATGTAGCTAATCAAGGGAAAAAGCATTTCCATCAGTTCTAACAACATGCACGATGAGCTAGGCAACAAGGCATAGCGCAGGGCCCTGAGCTTCCAAGCTCTCTCGTTTGGTGTCTGTTTGTTTGTTTGTTTGTGTCACGCCTGGCGCTATCCCGTATCTGTCCCGTACCGTACCGTACCATTAAACACAGCTGGCCAACTACAGCTGGCCGCAATATTGATTGATTGATTTTTATTTCACGGATCCTCCAGAGGCAAATAGATGCCTATGGAAGGGAGTCTCCTACTTGTAAGTAAGTATGGAAGATGAGAAAGTATGTTCGTAAGGGAGAATAGGTAGAAGATACATTAGAATATAGAGTACAGAAGAAGTAAATTCAGTACTTCGGGTAGTACATTGCATGCTAATCATAATGAGAATTAGAAAAGCAGCATTGCGGACTACTATAACTGACATATACACAAACTATTGAAACTATCATAGATGTGGTTAGCCTAGACACAAAAGTAAGGAATACCTTTCACCTAGATTGCGAATGATACCGACGAACAGCAATACTAAATTTCGCTGTTGTAGAGAGTGAACGAATATCTTCAGGAAGTTTTTCCCAGGTAACACTCAAAGAAAAAAGAGTTGATTTATGAAAGTAGGTGCCAGCTTTAGGAAGAATTATGGATGAAAGGTGACGACTGCTTTGGGAAGAGGGTAGCTGGAAGTGAGACAACAAGGAGGGGTATTGGGAGAATACATGGCGGAAATAGACAAGGCCAAGAATCTGCCGTCGCCATGCTAAAGATTCCCAAGAGGACAGAACATTGAGGTCTTCTTTGGAAGTCGTCCAGTCAGGCCGACGCTTGAGTTTACTATTTATCCCTCCAAATAGGGCTTTCAACCGCAAGACCATAACGTGAAGCAACTTGGAAGAATGAGTATGAATGCGAAGTGTATGGGGGAATGCATGTAGGGCGATAGTGCGGGTTCGAATCCCAGGTAATGCCTGAAAAATAAATAGGAGAATTGAAAAATTTATAACATCCCTATTCTTTTTTTTGCCGTCATCAACTAACATCAAGGCGGAAGACGGTGTCGTATTACCCTCGACCGTACCTGTTCCGTACCTGTCCCGTACTGTACAATCAAAGACGGCTGGCCACAATGCATATTCAAATAGGGCTTTCAAATACAAGATCATAACGTGAAGCAAATTGGAAGAATTAGTATGTATGCGAAGTGTATCGGGGGATGCATGCAGGGCGATAGTGCTGGTTCGAATCCCAGGTTATGTCTAAAAACAAGAAGTAGAAATTTAGAAGAATTTATAACATCCCTATGCTTTTTTTTGTCTAGGGCTGTGTTTACATGAGAAATTTCAACCCGGGTCGAGTTCAGCCCGGGTTGAAAGTCTGTACGACAAACAAAAGAGGTGAGCGTCTACATGAAGACAGTGCATACATTTTTTTTTCTCGGTATCCAAGCCTCTTGTACGGGCAAAATAAACACAAGTGCAAGGTCAACAGCTTAGTACCGAGAGAAAATGAGCTGAAATGGCTGTGAAAACAGTCTTAGGGCCCGGTCACACATGCACTCGAAAGTAGCGTATACGCTGAAGCGAGGTCGCAGGAGCGAAAAATGGCATGGCAACGGCGAAAAGCGGAACTTCCGCTTCAGCGGAAACTCCAATCCGCTTCCGCCAAAATTTTCGAAGCGAGACTGTCGCTTCTGCGGATTCGCTTCAGCGGAAAACACCACGGTCTGCTGTATATGGACTTGCTACGAGAAATTTGTATGCGTATGATGTCCATGCAACAAAAATGCGTGCAAGATAGTCATTGACCTCGTCCATTCTCCGTACTATATGCACCACAGTCCACAAACTCTCATTTTTCCGCCAAAGTAGGAGTTGTGCCCTGTTTGCATGTGTGACCATGCACACGTGGTTTCGCTGGAGCGACGCCAGGCTCGCTGCCGCCAAACCTCGTCGCCGAAGCGAATCCCAGTTCATGTGTGACCGGGCCCTTATACGGAGGAAGCTACAATGGCTGTGAAAACAGTCCAATAAGGAGGAAGCTAAAATGGCTGTGAAGACAGTCTAATGCGTAGCAAGGCGAGCCTCAGCCTGGACGAGGTCGACAGGCACAAGGTTGATGTGACGGCGGCGAACGGAGCGTGATCCTCGAACGCACCGGATCGCAGACCTAGCAAGAGAGAAAGCCAAGCAGCAGCGCATCCAGCAAACGACTTTGCTGTAGCTCTCCTTGCGCTTAGAAGCCAGAGCATCAGCAATCCGCTTGACGACGATGGCTGCCTCTGGACCCATTCCGCCGCAAGAGGAGAAGACCAGTGGTGTGAACGAGCCATGTTCAACTTGGTTAACTCTTTCGCCATACTCCCGCTTCTTGGCACCTTCCAACTTGCGATAAATAGATGCAATGGGCTGGGACCGATAGCTCGCTGCGTGGGGATAGAACACCCTCGTATCGAAAAATGCATTGCGGCTATGGTTCCAAAAGCCCCGCACCCGGATGTCCATGAACATGAAGACAGTTGACCCGGGTCAAATACTGATATGCCGCCAAAAGTCCACTTCTACAGTCCTGTATGGTGACGTGAATCCGTTCGCGCGAAATTTGCATCCGCAGTGCTGTTCAAACCTGGCGCGAGATACGCACAGAAGTACGTTTGTACGATTTTCTTGACCCGATCAACCCGGGGCGAAATTTCAACCCGGGTCAAGCGCAATGCGTCATGTAAACGCGCCATTCACTTTGTGCACATGGCGGGTTGAAATCTGACCCGGGTCGAACTCAACCCGGGTTGAAACGCTTCATGTAAACACAGCCTAGGTCATCAAGGCAAAAAAGCATAGCGTAGGGCCCTGAGCTTCCAAGCTCTCTCGTTGTATGCATGCTCTAACTCGTCATCGCCATACATTGTATTGCGATGATTTCTACCCTGCTTCATTGTATTTTATTGAAAAAAAATGATTAAAAAATGAAGATGACGTAGACCAGTTTTTTGCGTGATTACAGCAGCAGAGAGGGTAGTGTTGAGAATACTGTAAGCGTTTGCCTTGTTGTTCGGTCAAGGAACATTTTGCAGAAGAGCAGCTTAGCCGAGGTTCGTTATGCATTACGGTTTACACGTACATTTACCCTAACTAAAGTCCTCCGGTCGCTGGCTCAGATGCATGCAGATTCACTGCGCATGTGTAACGGAGAAGACAGCAAATGGATGTGGACATATGCCTGATGTTCATAGGATTACTGAGAGTGTTATGATAAATAGATAGGGCATCAACATATTATTATTATTATTATTATGAGTCTTTTGTTCACTGTGGGCAGCTAGGATTCTAGTTTATGCTTGCAATTGTCATTGATGTTCGAGGTAATTATAGACAGAAATTGGCTCTTTGTGGCTATACGTATCGGCTACAGATAGAGAAATCTCTCAGTTGTTATCATTTGCCATAGTAGCAGTTTTTTTGAAGTCATGAGTATGGGTAAATGTGCTGAAAATATAGGGGACAGTTATCAAGTGATACACCACCCATTGCTATTCTACACTTTATGTGGATAGCCAATGTGGGGTGGTGATGACGTCATGATTACAGCCATGAAATAATGTTTCTGATGATATGATGTCATAGAGCCACTGGGTGATGCTCATCTGCCTGCTGGCTTCAAGGTGTCCGCGCTGCACGACGTCTGGTGCGATGTCCGCCAGCGCACGGGTTTCTCGTGCCGTCTCGACCGTGGAACGATTGCCACAGGAAGTCGCCGCTGTTTGTCCGCGCCCCATCCACTAGCATCTGGTGGATCGGATGGTGGCGGCATGCATGCGTGCCATTCAGTGCAGATTCATTGGCATCCTTCAGTGTGCTCTTTAGCAAAGACTTGATTGCACCGGCATCGTAGTAGAACTTTGTTCGTTCGTCCTGTGGCTGCAGAGGGCAAGTCAGAGGAAAGCTCAATTTCAGCTATTTATTCAACAAACTTTGGACTGAGATGTTTTATGATTGGATGTAGGAAAGTACCCTAAATGAACTGTGATCATACTTAAGAACTCTCTATAGAGTACTGGACATCATACAGTGTGTGGATCGCCTACTGAGTCCAACAAGGTATGTATACACAGTATCAACACTTACACCATAGTTACGGACACATCTTGGCTTCGCACAGTGTGACAGTTCAGACTGCTTCAGAAGAGCTGTGTTCACCAACAACACAAACAACAAGAGACACCGAAAGGCTGAGTGACTAACGTTGCGAGTGGAGAACAATCCATAGAAATTCACCATCTTGAATAATGATGTTGTAATGCAGGGATCTCTCTCTCTCTCTCTCTCTCTCTCTCTCTCTCTCTCTTTCTTTTCTCTTTCTCTCTCTCTCTTTCTCTCTCTCGCTCTCTCTCTCTCAATCTCCCCCCCCCCCCCCCCATCCACTCTTGGTGCGTCTAGGTGGCCATGACGTCGAGACACTAGGTCGGTGGAGCTCCATAAACTTCACCATCACTGCCACGATTAAGTTTGTGCGTGCTCCAGTGTGTGCTCAAATCTGCCGACACTTTTGTTTTTGTACTGTGCTCGCTGCATCGAAGGACCAAAAGGAATAGTTGAAGTAGAAGTTTTGACGAGAACAAAACGTCCGTCATCCAGCTCGATCGATCCTTTTTCGTACATGCTACACTCGCAAATCTGCCGACACTTTTGTTTTGTACTGTGCTCGCTGCCTCGAAGGATCAACAGAAATAGTTGAAGTAGAAGTTCTAACGAGAACAAAACGTCCGTCATCCAGCTCGATCGATCCTTTTTCGTACATGCTACACTCGCAAATCTGCCGACACTTTTGTTTTGTACTGTGCTCGCTGCCTCGAAGGATCAACAGAAATAGTTGAAGTAGAAGTTTTGACGAGAACAAAAACGTCCGTGATTCAGCTCGATCGATCCTTTTTCGTACATGCTACACTCGCATGGACGAGTACAGTGCGACCATGGTAAATAATAGATTGTACTCAAGCGTTTCCACACGCTCTTATTTGTGATTTATAGATGATGTACTAGTAGAACATTTGCCGGACCACAGATAAGAATTTTTTATAAAATAATCAACGCATTCTGATCCAATGCTACACTCTTAGCGGCTCTTAGCTGCTTTATTTACCTGATGGAATTAAAAAGATATACCCACGACAGAATGCAAGGCTGCATTGCTTACCAGCATCGGATCTCTCTGTGTTAAACGCTATCAGACCGTGCTTGGGATATGTGAAGAAGACGGCTCTGAAGCCCTTGGCCCTCTGCGCCGGCTGTCCGCTGCTCCGGAAACACACATGCACCGTCGGCGACTTGTGATAGTCTCCAGTGATCACGTGTGTGCGTCGTATGCGATTACCGCAGTATTTCCTGACGGAAGGAGAAAGCAGAAAGCAAAATGCGGGATTGGAACCAGGCGGAAATGAGACATGGGTATGCTATAAGCTTATTACCGGAACGAAACTTTGGAAACTAGATAATAGAACAACAAGGAAACCTGATTGCCACCGTAACCTTTTTCAGTTATAGAAACTAGAGGCCCAATATTGAGTAGTTTTAAGTCGTTGTCATGGTACTAAGCTTTTGTATAAAATACAAAGTAATTTATTTATTTATTTCTGCACCTCGTGGCATATCAAGCCAGCCAATTGAATTGAGGAGAGGGTGAGACCAACCACGGAAGAAGAGAAAAAGAAAAGAAATGAAGAGCACGTACACAAAGTGGGAAGGGATTAGCAACTTACAAAGTAATCCAGGCATGATGTAGCCAGTGACCCTAACATGGTCGACGTCATAACCCATTGATGAAGGGAGGGGTGGAGTAGTGTTGGAAGCAGCATGTCTTCCCGATATGGTTATGTGATAGTTTCGCAATCTCTCAGTGCGCACACACTGCTCATGAACGCGCAAGTACACGGCAATGGTATGACCAAGTCTTTCCGCTGCCCGTAACTCTGGGGAGCTAGGTTATTCGGACTTTGAGTTCCGCGTTAAACCATCCACCAGCAGCAACCAGGACGTTAGATACATTTGCATACTGGCCGGCATGTTGTTTTTTTAACAATTTTTATTCCCTACTTCCAAGCTGGCAAATATTTTGATTTCGATAAAAAAACCGATTTAAGGCCTCTCAAAGGCAAGCATGCTGATGCAATGTAAGACACATTCAGTCCAGTATCCAGGCTTTAAGGGCTTACTTCAATCTCAACGGCTCCCGTCCAACGCTGACCACCTCCACGTGGCTGGTGTCGCTGTGGTTGTCGTGGCAATCCGGATCGGCACTGTATTCGAACTCTGCGTGTGTGGTCACTAGTTTGTATCTATGGTGAGCTGGAACGGTGAATGACCATTGACATTCGAATGCTGCTGGGTAGGGTTCGGGAAATCTGCAACAGCCATTCACAACAGCAATATAATTAACGGAATGACAAGTAGGGTTGAAAGAATGCTTCGATCAAATTTGACGCTTAGCATTTAGGCAACCATTGGATTATCCAGATCTGAGTTTTTCAGCAATGTGCAAGAGAAAGCACTTTCGTCGGTAGTGAAAGTACGTGGGAAGATTGATAAAATTTTGGCAAGAGGACATACATGGTCTTATGTACTAGTTTTAGGGACTACAGTATTGTGTTCGATGAATGGCCGAAAGACCAAAGGAAAGCATTGACTACCCCACTGGTTCACTGGGTCAAATGTTTTCAGGCTTTCCCTTCTTCATAATTGTTCTCATATTGTTAGTGTTTCTGCTGGCAGCACTCAGACTCTCTCTGGGAGAAGGGAGGGGGATCTTTAATTTTTATTCCCGTAGCTATGCAGAAGACGTTACTTTAGTAACGCCTGGCGCTAGCGAGGGTCCACATAGCTTTTATTCCCGTAGCTATGCAGAAGACGTTACTTCAGTAACGTCTGGCGCTAGCCAGGGTCCACACAGCTTTAATTTGGTATTTGTGTGTTTGTTTATTTGTTTGTGTGTTTGTGTCACGCCTGGCGTTATCCCGTATCTGTCCCGTACCGTACCGTACCATCAAACAAAAAAAAACAAAAAACACAGCTGGCCACATACAGCTGGCCGCAATATTCAAATAGGGCTTTCAAACGCAAGATCATGACGTGAAGCAACTTGGAAGAATGGGTATGAATGCGAAGTGTATGGGGGAATGCATGTAGGGCGATAGTGTGGGTTCGAATCCCAGGATACGCCTGAAAAAAAAGGCGAATTGAAAAATGTATAACATCCCTATGCTATTTTTGCCGTCATCAAAGCAGTAGACGGTGTCGTATTACCCTCGATCGTACCTGTCCCGTACCTGTCCCGCACCTATCCCGTACCGTACCGTACCATCAAAGACGGCTGGCCACAATGCATATTCAAATAGGGCTTTCAAATACAAGATCATAATGTCAAGCAACTTGGACGAATTAGTATGTATGCGAAGTGTATCGGGGGATGCATGCAGGGCGCGCGATAGTGTGGGTTCGAATCCCAGGTTATGTCTTAAAAAAAGGATTTTGTTAAAGAATTTCTAACATCCCTATGCTTTTTTTTGTCTAGGTCATCAAGGCAATAAAGCATAGCGTAGGGCCCTGAGCTTCCAAGCTCTCTCGTTTATTTCACTAATTTTTATTTCACCGTCCAATGGCCGAAGCCAATGCAAAAGACTCTGACTTTCGTGGGCGTGCCCTAACCTTGGTGATTTGATCTCCTGAAAGAAGTTGTTGAGTGGCTCATGGCGTACTTGTAACCAGGTATCCTCTGATCCTGGTTGGGGTCTGGAGCAGGCTGGGCGTCTCATTCGCTCCGCTTCCGCGGTGGTATTCATACTAGAAGGTCGGACAGAAGGTTGGACAAACACAGATACGCGGCGTGCATACATTCACACACGCGCATAGACAGACAAACACAACACACACACACACATAAATGCACACATGCACATACACACACTTACAAACAAGTGCACACATGCACATGCACAGGCATAAACACACAAACACACACACACACACACACACATACACACACACGCACGATACAATGCTATTAGAACCAATGCGATAATTATACTAAAGTAAGCCTGCTTGCCATAGATCTTTTGAAATATTTTACCAATCACATAGGAAACAAAAACTTGCCATGACTTTGCAAACATCGGAGTGTTTGAGAGAGTTGTCACGGGAAAGGAAAGTCCTTGCGACCATACACTTAATTACCGCTATGTCCGTAATAGCTTTTTTTGATAGAAGCATGCTAAACGAGAACTTCCTTCCATGTTCTTAAGGTGATCATGTTTACTTTGAGTGAAGAGATGTTTTGACGATGCGACTTCACTAGAAATTCGAGAACGATGTCGAGCCATTCAAGGCACCTCTCGAAATCTTAGTGTCAAGGCGAAATGCTTCTGTCGGGCGGCATCCACTTTCTCCGGAGGCAACTGTATTTATATGCGCGCTTTCGTGCGCATGTATGCGTGCGTGGGTGCATGCGTGGGTGTATTTTGGACAGTTTAGAAGGAGTGTCAGTGATCACCGATTGCACAACGTCATGATACTTGCCTTAGCATACGACATTTAGCCCGAGGGCAAGCGGAATCCCATGTATGCAGTGTCGCGTTACTTCAGCTCTTTGCCTGGATGTAGTGGATTTGACATGCAAAAAGGATTGAAGGTCGGTGCTCCAATCGCATGCTCCTACACGGAAGACCTTCACTTTGACATCTACGTCAGCTTTGGATCATATCATGTACTTCACGCGTGCTAACAATATGCAAGAAGCAACTACATGTTGAATTTAGAAGTAAACGAAATTAAAGAAAGTTTTGTTTCTTATGTTTCACACGTACATGTACATGTGTGTATCCCTGAAATAAATATTGACGCCATTAAAACATGCCAGAAGTACCGGTAGTCACTCGCGAATTCTGGAGGGAAAGTTTCAGCCAAAACGAGTCGGTGTCCGTTGGTTGTGGTTTGGTTGTGTTTCTATCGGATAGAAACCAGGTAGTATTAATTTTATTCAGTCATAACAACAAGCCCCTATTACATCTGATCGGGTTGAGTTCCTTTCGAATTCCTTGTCGATTGTTGTTCTCACATTTTGCCGATTGTAATAAGATGTTGTGTCGAGTAGTACTCCTCTCTGGTTTATATCAATAATAATAAGTGCCTTCTTGTATCTCACTGGAATAGAACAAAACACAATGCAACGTCTACTCACCTCAGAGATTCGTTTAGCCTCCAGCAGGTTACCCAGCTTTGATTCGTCGTCTCGTGAAGAAGGTCAGTGGCACTGCAGTGGACCAAGATAGTAAAACAAACATGGTAGCGGGTGGTATAGTGGTTAGTTCATCGCCTCCTAATGCACGAACATTGTGTGAACAAGAAGGGAGTGAGAGAAAGAGAAATCCAGAGAAAGGTTGCTAGAAAGACCGAGATCGAGATTAAGAGGAAGAAGAGAAAGAGTTGAGTTGGGAACTATTAGAGACTTGGGGTAGGAACAGTTAGAGAGAAACGGAGGAGGTGAAAGCGAGACACCATACGCACGGAATTAACCCGACAGACCAACAACATAATTATAAGAAGAAGGTGATAGAGAGTGGTCCTGGAGAAAACATGAAACTGACTGCAAATATACACAATCTTGTCCGTTCTCCGAAACTTGAATTAAAAGTCAATCCACGAAATTAGTACTCAGATGGAGAGCCAAGGTTTAATTTATACAAAAGAGAAAGACCAAGGAACTACAAGTTACGCTATACTGTCCACTAACACCACCAGTTACCAAACAATCAGCTCATGCGATAACCAAGATGTGCTAGAGCTGTTAGCGAGTTAGTTGTAGAACGTCAGTGCCGTCGGTCAGTGTCGTGCAATGTTATCGCATGAGCTGATTGTTTAGTAACTGGTGGTGTTAGTGGACAGTATAGCGTAACTTGTAGTTCCTTGGTCTTTCTCTTTTGTATAAATTGCACGAAATTAGTGTTCTTTGTTTAGATTACGGACGGACCGGAACATCACAGCGTACATGTACTGTGATAGCGGTGTCTTCTAATGTCTTTCACCACGTCCCAACAAGCCCTAAACACAGTCAACAGTACTACTTCGTTCTGCACCACTGCCCATATTCTGTGTCCTCGAAGCGGGAACCTGCTTGCCATGTGCTGTGCCATAGCAGACCCCTGTCAGTGTGCGAGAGAGATAGAGAGGACGTGTGTGTAAGAGAGCTATGACGGATGGTGATTCAATCAACCTTGGAATGTGACAGTTTCAAGTGCAAACGTGAACTCGAAAGTGGACCATTCGTCTTCCGTCGATTCAATCATGTTTACTGAAGATTGCTTAGAGCTGTCATTTCTTTTCGTCACAGCAATGCATGTTGCCTAACACCGCCCAACTGAAAGCCTAGGTGAAGATTTCCAAAGTTGGAAAAGCCCACAGAGTTTGCGTGGCCAGCTTCTTCTACACCCGGTGTCGCCACTAACAAGCGATTGCTGGTGCTCTGATTGAGCTTCGCTCGTTCTAGTGTGACTGCGCCCATACTAACTACAATCAACTGAGTTGTTTCTCTCCACAGAACGACTGTTGCTCTTTACGTGTCCTTCAGAACAATTATTGTGAATTTGACTTGGTCAACCAAGAGCCCAGAACCCGAACGGTAAGTCATGTCAAAGGTGAGAGGGCCTAGGGTGAGGAGCCGTGAACTACCAGCATGCAGCCCGCCGAAGACACATTCCTTGCTTCTCTCTCTCACACACACACGGACATCCGCCGTGGCCAAGTCGCCAAGGAAGTTGACACGGATCAGGTTTCGTGACTCATGCGGCATAAGATCCGACTAGGACCCCCGCCGTTAGGAGCCAATTATTCATCTTCATATGGTCGCTGCAAATAGCTTCAACCAGGGGCGCAGTCGGAGAGAAACGATGATCAATGCAAGGAGGTGATGACGTGGGAGTCTCCGATAATAAACTAAGGCGCAGGCAATATTCTAAGGAGAAGTTCAGAGACGAGCCCTGTGGCGACAAAACACCTACTTTGTGCGTTCTTGATACATTGCCGTCTCTTGAAATTGGCATGCCTTGCAAATCTCCTACTCGATCTACTTGTCCTTGTTCTCCAAAAGGAAACGTGGACCCACTATTTATGATATACTTGCTTGCATCACGATTCGTACTTTTGCGTATCGACTTTACTAGAGTCGATCATCAGATGGCACGAACACACATAACCCACATACTGTATATATAGGCGAAAAGCATTTGCATTCTAGAATGTGTCCAGGTCATCTCTGCTATAGTCGAGTTCAACACACAGTTGTCCTTAGTGGCGATTGCACTGTGTTCTCAACTGCAGGACGGATACACATTTACAGCCTCTGTCCTCAGCTGCTAACAGTCGCGCGCACGAAATGTCATCGAGCCGCGGCTATAGAGTACGGTAGTGTTCGCATCCGCTGCCTCTTCGGCAAACCGGCGGTGCGCCGCGCTTTCTACACGAAGAGCAGAAACAACATTGTCCCCGTCAGGCAAACATTCTAGCCGCGAGACAGTTGCTGTTAGTGTTGTACAAGTTTTGTAATATCCTTACAGCCACGTCAATGGGTCGGCCTTAACCCTCATTGGTTCGTGAACACTGTACATGTATGTGGTCTGGGTATCTGAGAATAGAATGCAACTTGCAAGTGAAGATCACTCCCACCGGCTGCTTTTGAACGTACTCATTTGAATGCTAAGGGAATTATGCCTTCGGGCCGGGGCTTGGGATCTTCTCCTGTTATGTAGTTGATGTTACGAGCGCTATACGTGCACCAAGTACCAATTCTATGCACACATGCTGTGCCCACTGGTCTGCTAGAGCAACACGATAATGCAAATCTACCCCAAAAACAATTTGTAGTGGAAACTGCGGACCCGCCGTAATTGAGCTAATCTCTTGTCCGCACTTCGGAGTAACAATAATTACTGTTTGCTCTCCCCTAGGTTGGTAGTATTTAGGCAGCTGTTATCTTCACTCCCAATTTGTCGTTGAGTTGTAGATTTGCATAGCAATTCTCTACCGCCGCGGGCAAAGCCGTGGGTGCCGTCCCATCCAGCCAGTGCTTATCACAATGTTTCCTCGCCGCCACCATCACTACTGTTGCTGCTGTTTACTGGTATCAGTACGGAGTGTGAGTTGCAGGTCCATTGGCATTGAGGCCAAGGACTGCAAGTGATACTTGGAGAGCTTTTCATTTGCCTACATCGCCCAGCTCGGTTGGTGCGTTCATTCCCATTGCAGATGTGATCGCTGATGGCTAGCGTGGTAGCACACGGATTATCCAGGCACGCCAGGAACCTGGCACGTAACGACAGACGGGATCGTGTTCCTCCAATCTGAGCGGTGACAAGTATTAATTTGCCAACTTCGAGTATCTCAATTAGGGACTCAATAATCATGTGTTGCGTATCCTGTCAGGAGTGGATCATGTTAGCCAGCCATGACTAGTCTAAGTGTTTGATGCTCTGTACATGTACACGCATGCATGGTGGCTATTTCCTGGCCTGAGTTCTCTTTCCATACGCTGAGCTTCGGAGACAGTTTTCTCCATGGCGTGGCTGGAGCAGCGTAATCGTTAATCAACGAAGAGGAAAGGATGCGTGCGAATCCTAGATCGTTCAAGTAAGATCAAACGATGCAAATCAGAACCCTGCACAATTGGGTTGCATCAATTCTCCACACGGGCAGAAGAGGCAATGTGAGGGTTGCTCGGAGGAGGAGGAGCGCCGGCATTCCATACGGTCATTCTTACACTCCATGTCGCCAGTTTCAAGACAAAATTTCTCCTCTCGTTCTAGCTATAAGCCCGGTTGCAGGGCTATTGCATAGGGCTCGTGTCATCGTTCTGTCAGCCACAGAAATTCCCTCGTATCCGCCCGCACAACTAGGCAATTTCGCCCACGATTACAGTAGCATAGTGGAGCGGCTCGTTTCAGCTCCGCTATTGTTCGCGAGCAGGAGCGGAAGTGCGAGGTCTTGTTCCTCTCCTCCACGAACACTAGCAATCAGTCAAACCACATCCTGTGACAAGACCTACATGTTCGTGCTTGCAGTCGGCTCGCACGCACGCTTAGGCACGCACGCATGCACACACATACCACACACATACAAACACAACTGCACCCAAGCTCCATGCTAGCGAAACACAGGGGACAAATATAGGTCGGCTTACGCGCAGTCATGTTCGGTGTGTCGCTCTCTGCCTAGAAAGCCGGTGTAGTGAATTGTAAGTCTGTCAGCATACTCGTCGTTATTAGTCCGTGTACAAGATCTAATCCTAAAATATCTCCGCTAGTGTCACTATAACTCGTGTTTGGATAGGACCGATGCCCGCCAGGATCACCACAACCCCAATACATGGAGGGTTCATGTTCGACACCCCCGCCGATTCTGCTCCACCACAATCATGGCCGATGGCATTTGCTTCGGTGGTGTGTTGGCATCGCCTCGCCTTGTGTTTTCATCTCACGCCTTCCAGCTTCCAGCCGTCGTCTGGATTTTGAGCCAAATCGTGTAGGTAATTGTGCAGAATACGTGTAGCTCCTGGCTTCAGGCGTAATTCCCTATTCGCGTAACTACTACACGTGCACTCGAAATTGAATTTGGCTGCATAGTCAAATCACATGTTCCCTTAGGTACGAAGTCCATTGAAGATCTGACGCATTTTGGGTGGATTCTTCCCATGTACCTTTTTCAACCTTATACTCCGGGGAGATCATGATACAACGTCGGAAACAGAGCGAACACAGATTGCCAGTGTGCTTGCCGGTTGCGAACAAGGAACGCTCTCGCCCTGGCTGCGTATCCTTCTCACATCGTCATCTCGGGTGACCCTGTGCGTGAATTTTCTCCTTTTATGTCTTTATCTAGCAGCCGTTGGATTGGCCAAACGGAGTTTCACTGCGCCCATTTTTCCAGCTCCCCAGCCAAACATTCTCTTGAAGACTAGGTACAAGCAAGTGCAGCGTACTGCAAGGATCTAGTTGGCATAAGCATCAAGCGAGCGACAAAGCTGAGAGGCGCACAGCACACACACAAACATCACACACACACACACACATACACACACACACACACACACACACACACACACACACACACACATACACACACACACACACATACTTTTAAAACTGCTAGGCTAGGGTCCTGGCTGCTGCTGCTGCCGGGAGATGAAGTGACTTCTCTAGGCATGACAAGCACTTGAACCGATTTGGAGCAGCACTCAATCAAACATTCCCTATTAATTTTAGCGATCTCCCGTGGCACTTGGTCCCCTTTTCAGCTCCGTAGTCTGACAGCAGCACTTTGGTTGGCAATGCATTACAGGCATCACGCTCCTTTTACGTCCATGAACGAATGTTGCAGATGCTGATGGATACACACTAAACATGCAGGTGTGAAAACGTTACTTGAAGATCGGCAACTACATCTCAGCAGCGAGGTCGAACACCTCACGCGTCCCTGCCCATGCATATCTATATATACTTAATTACGGTGGTTGCGTGACGTGGAAGCACAGACTTTGTGGCCTATTCCGGAGGGACTCCACTTTGTCTCGAGGCTATAATTATGGCCCGGCCATTGCTGCATTAAGGTAGGCAAAATGCAGTCTAAACCAAACTGCAAACATACATAAGCCGTGGAAAACCATACACCAAATGCTGAGGGAAGTAATGCGAGTATTTTCACTCACCTTTTCTCCAGCGGCGGCGGTTGGCCGGACTGTTCGAGACCGACGTTAGGATCCTCTGCCGACCGTTGCACGCTTCTCGCCCGCACCGTCGTGACGACCAGACACAGCAGAGCAGTGTGCAGAACGATGAATCGCGATTTCCTTGCTGCCATGGCATAGACTTGCGAGAGTAGCATGATGGACATGTGCGCGGTGCTGAACATGACAATAGAACACATTTATGACATCTTGCACAGTGCATCACGTTAAAGCACAGTGCATCACGTAAGTAAGTAGGTCTCTGAGGTAGAAATGACGCCTTACCCTTGCTCCCCTCTGTTTCTCTCTCTATATATATCTATCTATCTATCTCTTTCTCTCTCTCTCTATCTCCGACAGCTCCGGTTACTCGCCTCACAAACAGAATAAAACAATGCTACATGTATATGCAATACAATACAACGGGCAGTGATCCCTCAAGATATTCAGTCCTCGGGCGAATCTTCACGAAACCACTTTACATATCTACATTGTCAGCCGGTATCATTAGTCCGCCAAGCCGAAATCATCAATTTTTAATTTCTAGCAATGGCCGCAAAGAAAACAAACGGCGATAAATGTCTTGGAACGAGGATGCGTAATACCGTTGTTAGAAGTAGCGGATATCCCCGATAATACTATTATAATCAATGTACCTTTGGCTAAGTTCTGCTGTCCAATATCTCGTTTTTCCTTTCGGTTGGTGACGAAAATGTTGCTGGCAGGATTCACCAGGGGCAAGAAGGAAAGGCAAGAAGGAATACGTCCACGACTTGTCCCAATACACCCTCGGGTGATCAAAGGAGTTTCTATAATAATTGCAAGCAGCGAGCGATACGAATTGAACGATACTAATCGGATCTCAAGGCAATCTAAGGTATTTATTGACACAGGTCGCGCCGCTGAGGCATTCAGAGCCCGTGCAAGTGCTCAGGATAAGAAGCGATGCTCGCAGTAGCGGGGAAAGAGGGAATAAGCGGTGGTAGCGTGAGAAGGAACAACAGCACGTGAGCTGAGCACTGGGGGCGACGGTCGAAACTTTGCTGGACTTGTTGAAGGACTCGTGTCGATCAAGCTTCTAGGCTTGAACAAACACGTCACGTGCTAAGAGCCAGCTACTCAATCAGGTTTCACGACAAAGCCTGCAGGCTAGGCAAGACCACGTGACGTTGTTGCTATTGTGGATCCGAACTACAGAATGGATCTAGTGCAAGGAGTGTGCGTCCAGTATTCCCCCCCCCCCTCCCCCCCCCCCTCCCCACGTCTCGAACCCTTCCCATGCCATTCATGAACCAACTTGCTTCCAGGGCACAACATCCTGAGTCTGCTCAGAGTTTTGACCCAGCCAAATCAGGCTGCCTTCTTCCGAATGAGCACAGCACTGAAACTGTGAAAGAGAGATCGCGTTCAGGCAGTTAGCCAGCTACAAGTAGTCAGTGAGAGTGTAAATGATTCAGCAGTTAGGGGCGTTATCGAGTCCTGTCGCAACAGGACGCTCATGGAAGTAGTGTAAGTAACAGCGACTGCTGGAACTAATAATAGTACTATGATGCCAGTACCATGCTGATTCTAGTCGTATAACGAGTGCATTGAAGAGAGCTGATTGGTTCGTGTCACCCGGGTGAATTTCAGGGGCTGATTGAAGAAGATACACTTGTGGCAGCTCTGCCAGTCGCGGAATTGCATTGCATTGATACAAGGCCGTCGTGCAATTGCGTGCTGTCTATTACTTGCGCCAGAGTCATAACGGACAACCTGGAGAGCGACATGCACCAGGTGCTCACCCTTGCTTTCTCGCGTCTCGCCCTGCAGCCAAGCTAAAGCCAGGCGACAGGTGACTGCCACTCAATCAGTTTCTCCGTCAACAGTTAGCACAGCCTTGGTACGGTGCATGGACCACTCTCGCCGGATATGAACTCAGTCCTCGTCTCTCTCCTCGATCATCTCAAAGACGACCTTAAAACTACTTTGAAGTATAAAACATGCCCAGTCATGTTTGTACATGTCCATCATGTATGTATAAAGGAATACGTTTTGGCAAATTGCCGCAAAGTGCTCCATGCACAAGGTGCAGAGCGTTTCAAAGGAGAAAGAGAAACAGGGCCAGTGTGGGTTCATCATTACTCAAAGTGTCATGCTGCATGTACTGCAATCATCAGACGACTGCTACTGGTACTGAAACCTGCGAATAATCTTAAAATTGGCACACCGTCACACTACGTAATTCACGGATAAAGGCATGTACACGTATGCGGAATTTTGCGGACTACCCATCACTATCTCGTCCGCTCCGGGATACCTGATAATTACAGGCTGATTCACTTGCATCTTCTGCTACATGTGCTGTATCAGTGTGAGAAAGAACTTTGAAGAAGACCAGTTCGAGCATACAATAATGTATTTCCATGATCTCTACCCTGCTTTTCATTGAACACACTATCTACATGACCTCCAAACCCTTTACCATGCAGACCACCAGCATTGATCGGGTGCATTGCACACAATTCTGTAGCCTACATGCTACAGTGTAGAACTGTGGTACAAACCTGTAGTTATGCTCCTATTGTATATCTGAAAGGATCCCAAATTATGCTACAAATGTTCAAACACCAAATTATGCCAACAATTATGCCGGCATAATCCGCTGATGCCTAGTGCGTGAGTTGTGGTCCAATCCTCCGCCACGACAAATTGTGTTTTGTTCGCCCGTAAAAAGAGGCTTTTTATTGCTTTCTTTCTACAAAATCCACATATCTCCAGACACTTTTACATAATACATTTATGTGGATTAGTGTGCCTGGAAGACGCGCTGCGCCACATTATTTATGCCACCAGTCATCATGTGCGTATATAAAAATCTCCAACGGCAACGCCTGTATCTCCTGCTATTTCGTGGTTCATCGCATCATGGACCAATGCTAGTAATTAACGAACAGTTACACAGCATAATTTTTTTAATTTCGAGAAGGCCACTATTAAGCGTTTAACATAGTGACGGACAGGAACACACCGCCTCTACTGATGCAGTGATCAGGTGATGCGCATGTACATGTACATGTATAGCGTTGGATTTGTCAACATTCACAGAGGGTGGTAGTGGCATTGTGTTTCGCAAACAATGCTTTGCAGCACACCCTTCTCCCAGACAGCGACTGGGCTAATCCCGTGTAATCTGGTACGAGCATTTAGCGCTCATACAGCGAGGCTAGTACAATAGTGGTAGTCCCCCAAGGAGATAATTCCTGTGCGCTGAGACATGAATGGCACGATGGAGAGAGTGGTGTGAAACGCGCACCTGCTTCTCACCCACCCGCAGTGGCTGAACGCGCGCAAGATCAGGAGGGGCCCAGGTAAGGGCACATTTTGGTGCGAGTTCTCTGCAATGCCATGAGTGACTGCTAGAATGGCACAGCGGGAGATACTCAGTGCACTCAATGAACAGTAGAGTACCTTAGTTAGGACCAGGAAACACCCATTTACATGATCATCCATTCTGCCAGGTTGGAATGCCTAATAATGGACCCGTTAAAAAGCTGCGTCTTGGTATGGGTCAGCGTTAATGATTTGACAATGGCACAGCAAACCTGATCGGCCGCACCTGTTGGTAGTGTTGCAGGAAACTGTACCGGCCGTCTCTCTGCAGGTTTTGAATTACGTCAGCACTTACAATCATGTACATGTGCCAGTTGTTATGGTGATAAGACATTTTCCTAAAAGAAAAAAAAGAAATAATTATACTGCGAGCACAGCGTTCCTCGATGCCACTACAAATGGAGCAATGTACCTAATTATAATGTAACTCGGACCAGTTTCGACACAGCGGGTCTTCCAGATAAACTAGAGAAACAATGACTCTAAATAATTGAGGCGCACGTGAGCACAGAGAAATGCAAGGACTCAAAAAGTGGACAGCACAAGTGGGTAGGTAAAAGCTGTGTCCACTACCGGCACTAGGTGCAGTGCACTCCTCAATCTGGGAAATGCTTCAGAAAGAGAAAGAGAGAGAGAGAGAGAGAGTGTGTGTGTGTGTGTGTGTGTGTGTGAGAGAGAGAGAGAGAGAGAGAGAGAGACAGAGAGACAGAGAGACAGAGAGAGACAGAGAGAGAGACAGAGAGAGAGACAGAGAGACACAGATAGATAGATAGATAGATAGATAGATAGATAGAGATAGAGAGACAGACAGACAGGCAGAATGCGAGACAAACAGAGGGACAGACAGGAATCGGGTTTATATTCGTGGTCAGTTTTGAATGGTTGTAACCAAGTGTATGTACACTGTGGTGATGGCCTTTTTTCGACTTTACGAGACCACACGGCGCTTACAAACACCAGCACAAACAGTTCACCAGATGAGTCTGATGAGGTCCCACTATCTCAGTCAATGTGGAACAAAACAAGCTTGTCAGCAGTGACTACTCGCTGTTCTGGAGTGTTGCTGGTGAACTGTTTGTGCTGGTGCTCGCAGGCGTCGTGTGGTCTCGTCTGGTCCAAGAAATAACCTACTACTTCGAAGTAGTACAACCAAGAGTAGATAAACAAGAGTGTGCAACTCCGGATCTCTTCTGCACAATCTGCAGATACCCCCGCCCGCAGCGGAATGTTTTGTTGACGTCACCTTTTTTCAGAAGAACGCGCATTTTGCCCAAGAGCAGTGTGCGAGCACGTGCTGGGTACCGACTTTGTAATGTAAAACCCGGCCAAGTGCACGAGGCAAAACTTTCCAAAAGACTCGCAGCGCGTGCATCGTCGAAAACATTCCGTCAACAACAACAAAATTTCCGCCGCGGGCCAAACCACCCCGGAGTTGCACACTCTTGTTTATCTACTCTTGGTTCTACTACTACTACTACCGGTACTGTGAATCGATGCCGATGGACCAAATAAAGATGGCATCATCGAATCATGTACACTGTATAGCAAGTTAAGATGATCTTACACATTGCGTACAGATATCCATCTATCCGCACTCACGTACATATACATGTACATGTACATAATACATGTACCTTTCAACTGAAAATATTCGTAAATCCACCCTGGCCTGAGATCTTCATGAAATACAACCAAAGAAGAGGACGCGTACTGCGCAAGAAAGGAACGTTTACGATCCGAGAAGATACGTCAGCGAATGAGTAGTTGCAATCAGGTGCAAAGGATCAACAAATCCCCACCTGCAATTAAGTTGCTATCGGAAAGCTAGCATGAGAATGTGAAGAAAGCTGCCAAGACTCACAGCTGCGGATGATTGGAGCGACATCCAATTTCACACCCACTCCATGTCCCGGGCCTGATCTGGGTCCAATCTGAGGGAGAAATCTGGAGAGCACTCAAGTGCGATTGAGTGCCCCCAGCCCTCCCTCAACACTACACGCAAGTATTAGAACATCATGATTGCGCAAAGTCTCGTCCTTCGCAACACCTGGACGGATGTACTCCGTTACGGGTGTACCGATAACCTTCGCAACACCTATGGAGAGTGCACTATAGTGGAGTCTTGAACCCCTACCCTAGTTGCGGTGTGTTATTATTGTTCCTTGGAGATCCCCACAGACTACGAGTCTTAGGGTGCGTTCTTAAATCCTCTCGGAAAAGTTGGAAACTCTCCGAAAAGTTCGAGAGCTGTCCTTATAATTATCCTCTCCGACTTTTACGAGGCTCTCCAAAGCTCTCCAAGCTTCAGAGGTGGTTGAAACTTGGAGATTCCCGCGATCTGGGATCAGCGCATGCGAACTACGGCTAAAAGCCACATGTTGATCATCAGTGTACGCATTTTCCATTTCGCATACGCGCAGTGCAGACTACATTCGTGGCACTCAAGATCGCGGCCCCTTTGGCG